GTGGTGATGATATAAAGATGGACAGGGGTGGAGATGAAAGTAGACAGAAATAATGGAGGGGAAAGAAGTAGTAACAAATTTAAAAATACAGTTTCCATAAGACGAAGGAAGATTCAACTCTTCGGAATAAAATACTCAATGAATGTTTACCTGAGAAAAGAAAAAAAAAAAAAGGCATTTGCCTAAACCTGTCTGTGTTCATGAAATTTCCTAACTCCAAGGTAAAGAAGAAGATCTTAAGCATTTCCAGAGACAAAAGAAGTGAAGAGATTTTCATCAAAGGCATGAGAGAATATTATTACAGTATCAAATATTGATATAGTGGATACCCAACAGCAATAGAATAGTGTCTTAAATTTGTTTTAATATTCTGAACTTAGAATTCTGTAAACATTCAAACTATCATTTAAGTTTGAAACAAAATGAAGATATTTTCAGACCTATAGGAATTTAGAAAATGTATACTATGCACCTTTTCTGAAAAACAAATGCCTCAAGATGTATTTTGGTAAAATAAAAAATAAAAAAATCCAAGGAGGGACAATGCAGTAAGAAAATAAGCCAGCAAACACTCTGAGTGCAAGTAACTGTTGAAATTGTGTCTAAGTTTAGTACAATTGCTAAGAAAAGTTTCCTTAAAAGTTAAAAAGATGATAAAGAACAACTAGTAATCATCTGGAACGAATAAAATTGCAGATTATTTTAATCAAACTTCGGAAGGTTTGGGTAGGGAAGGAATCTTTTTGGAAACAATAAATTATAGACACTGATTAATTTTCTTTTTTTTTTTTTTCAATGTTATACTTTTTTTTTATTGATTAATTTTTGTTACAGCTGTTTCTCCTTTTTCCCCCACTGATTCCCCCCTCCCCCTCCCTCCCTGCCCTTTCCCCAGTTTGTTGTCCATGTCCACTGTTCATGCACACATGCATATAAGTTCTGTGGTCCATCCCTCTCCCACCTCTCCCCTCTTTAGGGGATTGTCAGTCCGTACCCCGCTTCTGCGTCTCTGGGACTACCCCATTCCTCAAACTGTTATGTTCATTATATTCCACAAATAAGTGAGATCATATGAAACTTGTCTTTCTCTGTTTGGCTTGTTTCACTTAGGATGATACTTTCAAGGTCCCTCCGTGTAGTCTCAAAGGATAAGAGATCTTTCCTTCTTACAGCTGCGTAGTACTCCATTGTGTATATGTACCACAGCTTTTTGATCCATTCGTCTACTGATGGACACTTGGGCTGTTTCCAGATCTTAGCGATTGTAAATAGTACTGCTACAAACATGGGGGTACATATATTCTTTCTGATTGGTGTTTCAGGCTTCTTAGGGTATATTCCTAGAAGTGGGATCACTGGGTCAAATGGAAGATCAATTTTTAATTTTTTGAGGTGACACCATATTGTTTTCCATAGTGGCTGCATCAGTCTGCATTCCCACCAGCAGTGCACTAGAGTCCCCTTTTCTCCACACCCTCGCCAACACTTGTTGTTTGATGATTTGTTGATGGCGGCCATTCTGACAGGTGTGAGGTGATACCTCATAGTTGTTTTAATTTGCATCTCTCTGATGATTAGTGATGATGAGCATTTCTTCATATGTTTCTTAGCCATTTGTATGTCCTGTTTGGAGAGGTGTCTATTTAGTTCCTCTGCCCATTTTTTAATTGGATTCTTTGTCTTCCTTTTGTGGAGTTGTATGAGCTCTCTATATGTATTGGAAATTAACCCCTTATTTGATGCATCATTGGCAATTATGCTCTCCCATACAGTGGGTAGCCTTTCCGTTTTGATGATTGTACCTTGGCTGTGCAGAAGCTTTTGAGTTTGATGTAGTCCCATGTGTTCATTTTCTCCTCTGTTTCTATTGCCTTAGGTGATGTGTCAGTAAAAATTCTGCTGCGTATGATGTCTGAAATTTTGTTGCCCACAGTCTCTTCTAGGATTTTTATGGATTCATAAGTTACATTTAAGTCTTTTATCCATTTTGAGTTTATTCTCGTGTAGGGTGTAAGTTGATGGTCTAGTTTCATTTTTCTGCAAGTAGCTGTCCAATTTTCCCAGCACCATTTATTAAAGAGGCTGTCCTTACTCCACTGTATGCTTTTGCCACCTTTGTCAAATATTAATTGAGCATATTGCCTTGGGTCCATTTCTGGGTTCTCTGTTCTGTTCCACTGGTCTATATACCTGTTCTTGTGCCAGTACCAGGCTGTTTTGATTATAGTGGCTTTTAAGTATAACCTGAAATCTGGTATTGTGATCCCTCCAACTTTGTTCTTCCTTTTCAAGATTGCTGTGGCTATTCGAGGTTTTTTTTGGTTCCATATGAACTTTTGAAGTAATTGTTCTAGTTCTGTGAAGTATGCCGTTGGTATTTTGATGGGGATTGCGTTGAATCTATATATTGCTTTGGGTAATATGGACATTTTAATGATGTTAATTCTCCCAATCCATGAACAGGGTATGTGCTTCCACTTTTTATATCTTGCTCTATTTCTTTTTTCAATGACCTGTAGTTTTCTGCGAATAGGTCCTTTATTTCTTTGGTTAAGTTTATTCCTAGGTATCTTAATTTTTTTGCTGCAATGGTAAATGGGATTGTTTTCTTAGTTTCTCTTGCTGTGAGTTCATCATTGGTGTATAAGAATGCCGTCGATTTCTTGACGTTAATTTTGTATCCTGCTACTTTGCCAAATTCATTTATTAAGTCTAGTAAACTTTTGATGGAGTCTTTGGGGTTTTCTATGTACAGTATCATGTCATCTGCAAATAATGACAATTTCACTTCTTCCTTTCCAATTTGGATCCCTTTTTTCTTCCTGTCTGATTGCTGTGGCTAAGACTTCCAGTACTATGTTAAATAGGAGTGGCGAAAGTGGGCATCCCTGTCTTGTTCCTGTTCTTAAGGGAAATGCTTTTACTTTTTACCCATTGAGTATGATGTTGGCTGTAGGTTTTTCATATATGGCCTTTATTATGTCTAGATACGATCCCTCTATTCCCACACTGTTGAGCGTTTTTATCAGAAATGGATGCTGGATTTTGTCGAAGGCTTTTTCAGCATCTATTGATATTATCATGTGGTTTTTATTCTTCATTTTTTTTATGTGGTGTATCACATTTATGGATTTGCGAATATTGTACCAGCCTTGCATCCCTGGGATGAATCCCACTTGATCGTGGTGGATAATTTTTTTGGTGTATTGCTGGATTCGATTTGCTAGTATTTTGTTCAGGATTTTGGCATCTATGTTCATCAGGGATATTGGCCTGTAGTTTTCTTTCTTTGTTGTGTCTTTTTCTGGTTTTGGAATTAAAATTATGCTGGCTTCATAAAACGAGTTTGGAAGTCTTCCTTCTTCTTAAATTTTTTGAAATAGTTTGAGGAGAATGGATATTAGTTCTTCTTTGAATGTTCGGTAAAACTCCCCCATGAAGCCATCCGGGCCTGGGCTTTTGTTTGCTGGAAGAGGACACTGATTCATTTTCAACACGGATAGAATACTTAAGTTTAATTATATGTGTGTATTTTAAATACAAGGCTATCCATTAGGAGAATAAATTTAGTAGATGTTACTGTCTAACAAATTAAAGGGGGAAAATGTACAAAGAAAATTTGATCAATCTATATAAAGGCGAGGAAATAAAAAGAATACATACATAATGAAGATAACACAGAAATATGACAGTAAAAAGACTATATTAGGTAACATATCAGTTATCACAATAAATAAGAATAAGTTACTTACATTAAAAGATAGACTATCTGTCTAGGTTAAAAACAGTCACACAAACACCTAACTATATGCTATCTGTAGTAATCGCAACCAAAAAGAACAAATACAAAACACTTGAAGTAGAGGTCCCCATAAATTTATTAGAGGCAAATTGTAACAACAACAACAAAAAACCTAAATGTTAATTTAAATATAAAACAAAATGGAATTTAAAGTGAAAAGGATTAATGGGACAGAGAGTAATATTTCATATTGATGACCAATAAAACCCTACAAGAAAGTATAAAGACTATGCGTCTCTGTGCACCAAACAGAAAGCATTGGAATAAATAAACCAAACCTATTGGTATTACGAGAAAAAACTGGCCAAAACTGAGCCAGAGTAGAGCCTTCTCTCAGTAATCTGCTGCAATAACTTCCATGTTTCACTCCGAAACCATGAACCTATTGGAGTTTTTCTCCAATTCCATGTAATTGTCTTTGTGGTAACATTCCTCTGTTGGTCTTTCCCACTCGCTCTAAATCCTGTATCACAGCTCACATTTGGGGCCTGAGTTTGGGTGCCTTCCAAGATGCACAGTCAGAAGAACTCTGTTAGCTTGTGATTTCTGAATGGACCTGACAAGGTTATTTGGTTAAGTGCTGATGGCAGGTGTTTAGATGCCCTTCCTCTGAAGGCCACACCAGCAGGCCAGCTGCCCCCGGAGGGGCTCCAGCCCTGTTGGTCGCGGGGCTGCTCCTGGGTCCGTGGAAGCTCACCGCCGCTCTCACACTCATTGCGGACAAGGCAGGCATTCGGTGTGGCTTTGGAACAGCCACTCACTGTTGATCTTTAAGCAAGTCAGGTACCTTCTCCCGGTCTCAAGGCACTTGTCTTTGAAATAAGGATGCGGGGCTGGAATCAGGAGTCCTAGAAGCTCTTTCTTCCTCTGAAGCTCTGTTTTCTACTGCATGATTATGTCTATATTTTTAAACCAGCTCTGTGTTTACAACCCTCTTTCTGTGGCGTCGTTCACGGAATGTGAAGATGGACTTTGATCCTCTGACACTTGCCAGGTCTCTGGGAAGAAAGAAGAACGTTGAACATACCCGAGGGCATGGTCCTTGGGCGGGCATGAGGGAGAGCTCGGCCCTGAGTCTGCACCCCTTCGGTGTCCTCTTGTCCGTCGGTGCCAACGGCTGCGTCCCAGGCTAGTGCTGAGCGGGTCTCCCGAGGGAGGGCTGGGCTCTCCTCACCAGCGTGGCTTCTCCTCTCTGCAGCGGCGTTGCTGGCGCTAAGGAGGAAGAAGCAGCTGGAGAAGCAGCTCACCCAGATCGACGGCACGCTGTCCACCGTGGAGTTCCAGCGGGAGGCGCTGGAGAGCGCTCACACCAGCGCCGAGGTGCTGCGGAGCATGGGCCTGGCGGCCCGGGCGATGCGGGCGGCGCACGAGACCACGTGAGTGTGGCTCCCTCTGGCCTTCGCCCTGTGGGCAGAGCGCATGTGCTGCGGCAGGAGCCACGTGCTCTGGGCTCGGACACGTCCCACTGGGACGGTCTCGCAGAGAAAAAGCAGAGTGAGGTGACAGAAGACAAACAGAAATGCCCTGAAAATACAGAGGACATTCATTTTCCCCTTAAGGGCTTCCAGACTCCTCACTATGTCTGACCCTCCACCTGTAACTTTTCATTATTTTATTTTATTTTATTTTTTTATCCTCACCTGAGGACATTTTTGCATTTATCTTCAGATAGAGCAGGAGAGGAAGAGAGAGAGAGAAACATTGATGCGAGAGAGACACATCAACTGACTGCCACCCTCACGACCCCAACTGAGGCCGGGGACAAACTGTAACCGAGGTACGTGCCCTTAGCGAGAATTGAACCCGGGACTCTCTGGTCTATGGGCCGATGCTCTAACTGCTGAGCCACACCGGTTGGGCTCATTATATTATTTTAAAAAACCTTAAATGTCAGCATCTGCGAGTGTTGTCAGACTTTGGTGGGATTCAAGCTCACCTGGCAGGCGACCAAGGAGAACCAGGTGTCCAGGCTCTTTGAAGAGGGGAGGGACTGGGCCTTTTCGTGCTTAACCAAGTTCCCAGGTGATTCTGATATGAAACAGTGTGTGAGACCCATCCACATAGAATCATGGCTACGGGCATGGATTTAGGGGTCAGATTCTCTGGGTTTCGTCCCAGTTCCACTGCCCACTGTCCTTGGACAAATAAGTTGGTCTCACCTTCATTCAGTTCCCTTGCTGTAAACTGGAGACAATACTACTGCTTGTGGTTACTGTGAGATTCAGTGAGACACAGATACAATGCACTGGTACTGGTACAGAGCAAGCAATCAGTAATCAGTATCTACTATGGCAGTGGGGCTGGTGACAGTTGCTTTACGTCTGCACTGGGGTCAGTGCCCGGGCCCTGCCCCTGCCCCGAGAGCAGATGTGGCAGGTCTGAGCCACAAGCACAGGAGCAGCGAGGGCCCAGGCAGGGCAGAGACGTGTCCAGGGGCGGGGAAGATGGGCCAGGACGGGCTGGGAGAAGGAAGACACCTGAGCACACATGTCCCTGCCCCAATCATGTATTGATGACCTGCCATCATTTTGCGGGCCTCGGAAAGACCGTGGCACATGCACTGTTGGAGCCAGCGGCCTGGCCTGCTGGGCCGGTGCGGGCTGTCACCGGGTCCTGGGCACTCTAGCACCTCTCCCGTTCTCCCTTCAGAGAGCAAATTTCTTACATGTTTGTTGTAAATATAGGAAGTGGGGATAAGAGGGGGAGGAGAATGGTAAAGCGTTTTTTTCATTACTCCATGAAAATATGTCAAAATACTCATTTTTTCCCCCAAGAGAGTCTGGGAAACTTTCGAAAGGTTTATTCCCCTGGGAATCAACATTGCAATGAGGGAACGTGTCAGGTTCCTGGTATCTAATCAGTTTGGTCCGTTTCAGAGCTGGGGGAATGGTTCAGAGACGGGGTCCCAGATGCTGCTGCTCAGACCCTCACAGCTCAGGTTGGTGGGTGGGGGCCGGGGCTCTGGGGCCTTGTCCTCGAAGCAGCTGTCCATCCTGGGCCTGTGGCTACCAGTGCTCTTCGCTGATTCTCCTGAGGGCTGAGGCTCCTCCTGCCCTCCCAGGACACGGCAGGCCGGGGAGCGCCCAGGGGGGCCCCGATCACAGGACAGCTCGGCTTCCCGGAAAACGGTCCTCTGCTCCGGAACAGCTTCAGCAAGGGCTGCACGGGGGTGGCGGCTGCTGAAAGCCACCGGCTTGTCTTAGTCAGGTGGTCCTTGGGGTTCCGCCCACCATTTCCTGCAGAGTTGATGCACAGTGACATATATTCACTTAAATTTTACATATGCCCTACCAGACGAAATTTCAAAATGGGTCTACAAATACTGTAAATTATAAAATAATTTGCTCATTAGTGACTCCCAAATGTAACACCTGTTTATTTAATATTTAAAATAGATGTGCTTATGCAGGGCCAGTTTTTTTGAAATGCAAATTATTTTTAAAGTTGGTACATATTATTATTGGGGATTTTTGTTATCCTATGGAAATAGCTAAGAACTTATATTAAATGACTTGTTTTTTCATATGCGAGTATATTTAAATGCATCATTTTAAAGAAAGATTTTAAAATATTTCCACAAAATATTATTTCCCAGGGATCTGAACAAAATAGATGATTTGATGCAAGAAATCACAGAGCAGCAGGACGTCGCCCAAGAAATCTCGGAAGCGTTTTCTCAGCGGGCTGGACGTGGCGACGACTTTGATGAGGTGGGTGACGCCATGTGGAGATGGATGGCCAGGGCTCCGCTTCCCACCATCCGCAGCAGACAGGGCTCCTCAAATATTTCTTTAAGTGTCCTCGACGAATAAATGATACTTGCTAGAGACACACTTAAGGGGGAAATGAAGTGTTGGTAGCTCCGATTTAAAGGAAGGATTAATGGAGTTTGGCAAACAGCCCCTCATTAAGTTTCTGGTTAAGGAAGAGCAGCCCGGCTGGAGGGCGGCTGGGAGCTCCCAGGTGGACCGCCAGCCGAGACGAGGAGAGCCAGCATCTGACGTCTGGGCCCAGCAGACCGTCGCTCTGCGGGTGTGAAATTGTGATATTGGAGGGTGGGCTGCCTCTGTTCATTGCTCAGACGGTGGAACAAAATAAAAGTGGACAGGCAGTACTAACACACGATCCACTGGGGCCTCTAGTCCAGCAAGACTGATTCTCGTCAGGTTAGTGGCGTCCGGCTGGGGCCTCTCGGTTCTGTTCACAGCACACACACTGGTCCAGATTCGGAAACGATTCCGGGTCTTAGAAGAGCATGGTGAAGACTCTGACTTCCTGCGTCTACCTGGCCTTGAAAACGAAACGTCCAGTAAGGAGAGTGTGGTTCTACGGACCTGATAAAATGAGACTTAGGCATCAACAACTTTTAAAAATGGTGTCGCTCAGCAGTTGAAAACATTTGGCTTTCAGGCAAAATCCTTTCCAGGACCTGTTTCTGAGGATGGTTTTGCATGTTTGAAGGGTTGTAGAAAACACCACCAATAACAAAAGCGACGGATGCAGAGATGCGTGGCCCGCAGAGCCTAAGCGAGTGCTGTGTGGCCATTCACCGGCCTGGTCACACTGGCAGGCACGTAGGCTCTGGGCTCGTAACCTCTGGGCTCTGACGCTGGTCACTGAAGGCTGTGAAGTCCCTTCACTTTCCTGACCCTTTGACTATAAAATGAACATGCCTGGCTCACCAGCTTATCTCGAAAGTTTCTTCAATTCTAACATTCTTTTATTAATGAACAAATAAGTGATTGGTACCTGAAGTCTAACAATGAAGCAGGAGATGATTCTCCATCCTGTTTGCTGGAGGAAATGTCAGTATCTGTGTGGTGTCGATAGCTGCCACGCACCCCAGGCGGTTCTGCTACACGTCCATGTAGCAGTGTGTTCTGACCTCACTGCATTGACTGTATTTGTTCCCATGGCTCGTGGGCAGAGATGGGACACAGAGTGTTCATGCTGAAGGCACTGTGCATGTGGCCGGTGGAGAACCACAGCACACCAGCTCCGGCGGCCACACTGTCCCAAACGCACGCCTGTTCTTGTGCCTCCCACGAGGCAGATGTCAGCACTCAGACACCCTTCGTCTGGCGCGCACTGCCGTGACCCGACGTGGCTGGCTGCAGTGTCTCTGTGCCTGGCATCAGCCCTCATTTCAACGTTGGGCCGTTCTTCGCTCCTGCCTCACCCTCACGCTCAGTGGTGGGCTCCTCCAAGGCGGAGACTGTCAGTCGAACCCTGTGCCCCCAGATAGGAGTTCAGTGCCTGGCTGGGAGTGGGCTGTCAGTCAGTCTGCTCAGGGATGAATGAAGGAATAAAGACGCTCCTTGGTCGAATGCGAGTGTCTTTGGTCCTTTCTAATGGGGACGTACTCTGAGTTCTGAGGTGACCCATTTCCTCTAGACTGTCAGCCTCTCTCAGGGGTGCACTTTACCTGAGAACTCACGGACTCAGGTATGTCTGGACTATCTGTTATAAGGTGACTTACACTTTCTTTATTTTTAATCCTCACCTAAAGGTATTTTTTCCATTATATCTTCAGCTAGAGTGGGAGGGAGAGGGAATAGACAGAGAGAGAGAGAAAAACATTGATGTGAGAGAGACACATTGATTGCCTCCCACATGACCCCAACCCAGGCCAGGAACCAAACCTCAACTGAGGTATGTGCCCTTGACCGGAATTGAACCCGTAACAATTTGGTCCACGAGCAGATGCTGTAACTGCTGAGCCAAACCGGCCAGGGCAGTGACTTACATCCTTAAAGTCTCCAACTAGTCTTGGGAATCTAAAGTTCTTGAGAAGAGCGTAGTTTAGGATCGAACCAGACCCTCTGAGACTTGCTGAAGGGAAGAAAGACAGTGCACCCTCCCTTGGGTGAGGTTCACTGAGCCCAGACACACTGTGGCTTTGGTGACACAAGAGGAAGCTAATACCTTCGATTCTTTTTACTTTCTACACACATGCTTTTGCTCTACATGTTACTTATTTTTAAAAACATCAACCCACATGAAAATATTTATTTCCTCCGGTTAAGGTTTCACAGATTCTTAATTTTTCACAGTGGAAAAGAAAAGATGTTTAGAAAAAGAACAAGCAAGGGGTACACTTCCTGGAAACTGGTTTCATATTCAGCTAGCACAAGGTCCTTGAAAAGCAGTTTACTGAAGTATTATAAGATTAGCAATGACAAATTTGCACAACCCAAACTATTCATTTTTTAAATCATTGCTCAGTGTTGCAAAAAATACTTAGTCCTAAAATAAACATTTCGTTTCACTGGGTTCTCACGCATCAACCAGACGCAGGTGTTGTTGTTGTTGTTGTGTCTGAGGAGACCCACCGCCTGAACACTGACTCCGTGATTCTTTCTCCCGCCCGTGTTCAGGATGAGCTCCTGGCAGAACTTGAAGAACTGGAGCAAGAAGAATTGAATAAGAAGATGACAAATCTTCGACTTCCAGATGTGCCTTCCTCTTCCCTCCCGGGTCAGCCGGGCAGAATGCCGGGCACCGTGCCCGCTGCACAGAGACCCCGAGCAGGTGTGTCTCCACCTCCACTACCTGAAATAATAGCCTGCCCTCTAGCCCTGTTAGCAATTATTTTTTATTCAATAAATATAAACCTTTTATACATAATTCATACCTGTTTTCTATGCTCAGTATGAGTCCCTGATTCCTCTCCACTGTGTGTTCCAGCGCCTTCCAGGAGAGCAGAAGAGGGCGATGCCATCACACACTTGGCAGCCTGGGCTACTTAAATGGACGTGGACTTGCCCTGACACCCCACTCCATGAGCTGTACATAGGACATAAAGGTATTTTTGCCAAGTTCAGAAGTTAATAGAGACCCAGGTTTGTATTTATACAGGATGTGTAATTGTCTTTTAAGCCTCCTACGTAGAAGTTAAAGGAGCTGGCGGCGTCCAGGAAGACCTTGCTCATGACTGGACCCAGTCCTGGGACCCAGCTGCTCCTCTCTCTCCGTCGACAGGAAGCGGAGTCTGTGCACGTGTCAGACACGTCACCTTTCACAGCCGTGGCGAGTCCAGGAGCTGGGACAGCGCCTTTCCGTGAGGGGTGCTGCATGTCCCTGTCACCCACGGTAGATGGAAGTGCACCGAGGAGAAGAGACTTTATGTAGACAAGTCCTGTGTGACTCTGCTGTCGAGTTTCACTTGAGTTTGGCTGTTTAAAATCTTAAAGGATCTTTGTCATTTATTTTGCCATTTAAGCTTGGAATGGGACAGTGGGTGCATTTCCCCCTGACATGTGCAAGCGCTGAGAGCTCCCACTGCTGAGCCAGAGTCTCCGAGGTGTGATTTGGCCACGTAAGGAGCTGTGTGCACCCCCGGCCGCGATGCCGCCGCTTCAGCTGCAGAACGTGTGACATCCTCTCCTCTGTCTTCTGCATTAGTTTACACGTTGCAGCATATTTCTTGTGAATACGTGAAAAAGATAGGCAATTGAAAGTATATCTTGAATAACATTTTGGCCATAATTATTTTTAAATGAAAGTATGTTGCAAAGTTATGTATTTCTCATAATATGTCACGGACCATAACATGACAACGTCATTATAAAAAACGTTCTAGTGTTCCTTCCGGCCCTTAGCAAGTGAAATGGAGAGAAGGCTGTATGTGGAGGTAGTGGTCCTGGGTTCCAGCCCCGCCCCCCACCAACTCAGTCTGGAGGCCTGGACTCCAAGCCTTTGTGTCTTCATTGGGAACTCTAAGAGCTGGACTTGATGATCTCTAGTGGTTCAGTCCTGCCACGGGCCCTTTGCACATGCCGTTCTTCTTAGCAGTCTTCTTGCCCTCCACAAGGCAGGTACCAGACCTGACTTATTTCCTAAATCTTACTTAACATGGCTGTTATCTCGGGAAAATTTCTCGATGGCCCAGACTAAATCAGGTCTCCCTGTGCTATGCGTCCACGGCTCTCTGCTGTCTCTCTGGCCCCGTCGCACGCTTGCTTGAATTACTCGGTGATCACTGTCCTTCTCTGCTGGTCTGTGGCGGCCGCAAGGGCTGAGCTGTGTCTCTCAGTTCAACAGGTGTCCCCAGGGCTCTGCAGGGCTCCTAGTACACAGGAGGCATTCAGCAAACATCTAGTCAGTGAGCAGAGATCAAACTCTCACATCTTTTGGGCCGTCACAAGAACCTGATTGACCTTCTGCCTTCAAAACTGGACAAAGTACATGAAACAACAGTGTCCAGACATTGGACAACAGGCAGCTCCAGACTGATTTCTGCTGGAGAAACCATGGAGCTCGGCCTTGGTGCCGGGTCAGGGCCTTCACAGGGAGGGACCGAGAGAGCCCAGCAGTGAGAGATCTGGAGAGGAGATGGGCAGAGGGGTCCCCGCCAGCCTTCGGCTGAGCACTGGTCTGCGCACCTGTATCAGGAAACTACGGAGGCCCAGGGGCAGACCGACCACAGAGCTCACACAGGGCCGGGATCCATCTCTCCACGAGCCTCTGTGGGACAACCTCCTAATCCAGGGGCATTGGCCTGAGTCCTCAGAAGGCTTTGCCTTGGCAGTGAGGTCACATGATGCCTAGACCTGAGGCTGTTCTGGGCCCACCCCAAAAAGAATGAAATGATTCCAAATCACCTAACTGCACCCCAGGACAAAACCCCCTAATACTTAAAGGAATATAAAAGCTAACAAGAAACACCAACAAAACAACTAACATAAACCCTGGCACCCAAATCTTTGCATTTCCAAGACTTAGTGTAGAAAGAACATAGAATATCTCATTAATACTTTTATATTGATCTCATGTTGAAAGACTATTTTAGATGTACTGGGTTAAATAAAATATATTACTCAGATTTAGTTCACCTGTTTCTTTTTACCTTTTTGGACTGTGGCTACTTGGAAATTAAAAATTGCAGCCACGCCTGGCCATGTCCCAGGGATCCCGGTCAGGGCACGTGCCTGGGTTGCGGGCTCGATCCCCAGTAGGGGGCGTGCAGGAGGCAGCCAGTCGATGTTTCTCTCTCTCTCTACCTTCCTTTCTCTCTAAAAAAATCAATAAAACAAAATAAAAAAAATAAAAATTGCATATATGGCTCACAATATATCTCTATTGTTTATCCTTGGGCAAAAAGTTTGATTTCTCATTATCAATGAGTGCACAGATACTTTGAAGTACTAAAATGACAATTTCTTAAAAAGAGAAATTTTCCAAAAGTTGACATCTTATTTTGAAAAGAAAGTTGTTTTGAAATAAGATCATAACGTTGCATCTCTGTGGACAGTAAAGAGTGAAACAGGAGAAAAAAGGTCTAAAAGTTAATCATCTAAGATCAAAGGGACATTAAAGCCAATAAGAGGCTAGTCAGACAGCCGAGGTGTTCCCAGCAGCCTTGGAACAGGAACGCTTCGTTTGGAAGATGTGAATTCTGGGTGTTTGTAAAGATGGGATCAGTGCCTCACATGGTGCCTCAGGGCTGAACATCCTCTTGGGTATCAATACTGAATAGCTACTGTGTTGTGTTTTATATTTTTAAATAAAATGTTTTCCAATATATCAGCTAGTTGTTTTTTTTAATTCTTTTTGGCTGTAAGATACACATTCAAGATCACTTAAGAGACACACATGGATTTCTTGGGAGTAATTTTGAAATGCTTAAAATGCAAATTGAGGAAGACCTAAGAGGAGAGATACCCTGGCACTCATGGAGCCAGACCTGGGGGCTTCGCCTCCTGAGCAGCCAGCCAGCTGTCGGGAGAAGTGAGCAAGCTGTTATTGTGCTCAAGAGTCAAATTCCAGAGCCAGAACATTTGATTGGCTCAGCTTGGCTCGTGGAACTACCTCTGGGGTCAGCCACCTGGACCACAGGCCTGAGAAGCAGGGAGGCAGGTGCTCCTACCTGAAGAGGGGGATGGTGTTGACCACCTCCAACCTGACAACTGCACCTGAACACTGGTTTACTTAGTAGAAACTGGAGTCGCAAATTCTTCGATACAACACAATGGTAAGTGTCTTGTGAAAACAAATGGGATAATGTGTCAAAGTTAGCAATCCAAACAAGAAGCAAGAGAAAAATAGAAAGGAATAAAACCAGAGAAGCTGAGACTAGTAAGGACATCTTGTACCATTTCATGATGGCCCTGAGAACAAATGGGTGAAGTGGGTGAAGTCAGTGTCATCTCCCCACTTCCTCTCTCCTGTCCCCGTAACTCAAGACGGATGCTAATGATTCTGCTGGAGAAATCATTTCTTCCAACTTCGAATTCACTTTGCAGCATTTGTTTTATTGCACTATGTACAAAACATTTGGGCTGTTTTTCAGGAGAGAATAACTTAGTATACCTTAAGGAAGCAAAGATAGGGCAATCAACAAAGTTGTGATTTAGAAGAGAGATGTCCAAACATGAGTGAGTGAGCTGTACCTCTGATTATGAATGGTTCTGAAGATTTCTGTATTCACAGGCTATTGAAAGCTATACACACTATTATTTAGAATTTTGGGAGGATTACATGTTCCCTTTCAGCAGCCAAAAAACACTCCAATTTAGACTTCTCTGAAAGGGTGACATGTATATGGTTGATTGTTTTTGCATATGTAATATATCTATAAATATATAAAGTGTGTGTGTGTAGATTACATATGATTATGTACAAATTATACATACTCTCTGTATTAATACAATATGTGTCATGTACTCTTCGAAAGTCTGCTACTCACTGCCCTCCGCAACGTTGCTGTATTTCTATAATCCCAGCTCATTTCTTTTTGGATGACTCGGTTTCCTCCTGCCTCACAAATATAACTCTTTCCCACATTTCCCACAATTTAGTTACTTGCTATCTCTTCCATCTATATCCTTCATAGACCTCATTTTATTTTATTATTTTAAAATTAATTTTAAACTTACCTTTGTTATTGAAAATATTAAAGATGCCCCCTGTTTTCTCTATTGGCCCTCCTCCCCACTTCCTGCCCCCTCCCTCCTTCCTTTTGAGGCTCGTCAGTCTAACAACCAATTTGTACTTTTTTTTTTTTTTTTTTTATCCTCACCCGAGGATATTTTTCTTTTTTTTTTTGTACAGATAGAGTGGGAGGGAGAGAGAGGAAGGGAGAGAGAGAGAAACATCGACGTGAAGGGACACATCGAGTGGCTGCCACCCGCACGACCAACCAGGGCCGGGGACAAACTGCAACCGAAGTACGTGCCCTTAGCGGGAACCGAACCCGGGTCTCTCCGGACCGCAGGCCGACGCTCTAACCGCTGAGCCAAACTGGCCAGGGCCCAATTTGTACTTTTAAAAAAATTTTTTATTTATTAATTTGTTTTTATTACAGATATTTCTCATTTTTTCCCCATTGACACCCTCTTCCCCTCCCCCCCACCCCATCCCCAGCTTTGTTGTCTATGTTCATTGGTCATGCAAACATGCATGTAAGTTCTGTGGTGTATCTCCTCCCCCCAAGCCTCCTCCCCTGAGGCTTGTCAGTCTGTACCTCACCTCTGTGTCTCTGGCTTAATTTTGTTTGTCAGTTTGTTTATTTCACTATATTCCACAAATGAGTGAGATCATGTGATATTTATCTTTCTCTGCTTGGCTTGTTTCTCTTAGCATAATACTCTCTAGGTCCTTCCATGTTGTCTCAACAATTTGTACTTTTTAATCCTTTCATCTTTTTTGTCCATCCCCCTCCCATATGGCAATCAACAAAAAGTTCTCTGTATCTATGACTCTGTTTCTCTTCTGCGTGTTCATTTTGTTTGTAGATTCAGTTGTTGACAGATTATTTGTTGCCATTTTATTTTATCTTCTTCTTCAAGAAGACCCTTCAACATTTCATA